TTAGTACTATGATGGATCTATCATCTATATATCTAATTTGTATTAGTCTTCCACCCTGCATTCTCACCATTTTTAAAAACAGAAAAGGAAGAGAAAAATAATAGTATAATACTTAATTTAATTCTCATGCTATGTAATTACTAATTAACAAATAAAAAGGCAAAAGATATATAGAGTAAAAATTAAGCTACAGCATCTTTTTAAAGGAATTATTTTGTATTGTACTAGTGCTTTGTAAGGAATCATTTAAATTGATGATGTTATACTTTTTTCTTATCCTCATTGATTTTCTACATTTTTCTTTTTAAAATGAAGTAGTCTCTGAAAGTGTACATATTTATATAAAAAGAATATCATGGCCTGATAATCTGCAGTTTGTAGGTTGAAATAGCTAGAAAGCAGATATTTATGGGGTCACTTGAATGGCAAACACATGCAACAATGCAGCGCGATATGGTAAAGTTTAGAGCATGGCTTTCTTCCCATCTATTCAAAGAACAGTTTCCTGCTCACTATGCGGAGGTCTTGAGGGCTTTGCCACTTCAAGAGTATATGAATCCAAAATCTGGTCTTCTAAATCTAGCAGTTAAACTGCCACCGGAAATGCCAGAAATAGATTTGGGACCTTCAATCTATATTTCCTATGGTGGACCTGAAGAAGTATCGCAAGCAGAATTTGTCACTAAACTATGTTGTGAATCTTATGATGTGGTAGGCCTAATTATCTGCTATTATCTATTTTTTTTTGGTTTGTTTACTTATCTTGGCTGCATGCAATTGAACATTGAGACCATCCTATCTATTATATCTTCTCTGTGACTGCTAATTTTTGAAAGATGAAACACATCTCTGCTTCTGTGAAGCTACTAGCTAGTAATCGTACAAGATGCACTAATATAGCATGGAAAAGNACTGTTTCGGAGAGTCCCGGCAACATAGGTAGCATGAAAAAGGGAAATTTTAGTAGACTGGAACGATCCATGTCTTATGGCATTCAATAGAGTTCTAAATGTGATTTCCTTTTGCAGTCCGAAATAAAGATTGATCTAGCATGTGAGATGACAACTGAAATTTTGATTCATATTACTTTGGTTTTGCTCAGGTTAATATTCTTGCATGTGCTACCGATGTTCCCATTTCCAAGGAACAAATAAGAAAAATAAAATGTTTAATGAAAAATAAGAAGCCTCAAGATCACAAGGAATCTACCAGCTACTCAAGTGATCAGAAAGGAAAATCATCCCTGCATAGTGGAGATACAGAAGAATCCTGTCTGCAGGATGGAACTGGCGGCCACTTGCCTGATGGTATTGCTAAACGACCTTTCTACTCTGCTGACTCACTAAATGGTCAAAGGTATGGAGACCAAGATGGCAATATCTCCAGTGACAATGAAAATGACTCAGAATTTGAGTCTGATGTCTCACTGTTCTGCTCTGGATCTGTTGAAAGATCTGAAGATTCAGACAGTGATTATCTTTTTGAAGATGTCGATAGTGTAAAGAAAGAAGCAAAACCCTCAGGTGCTCAGTGGGATGTTTTCCGCAGACAAGATGTCCCAAAGCTTCTAGAGTACCTCAGAAGGCATTCTAGCGAGTTCACCTCCACGCCTGGTTATTCCAAACAAGTAAAGCCCTTTGTACCAAGAGTTTCATGGTAAAGATAAGAGTATGATGATAAAAATTAACTTAATCTTCATATCTTTGGCATGTACCTGCTGCAGGTTATTCACCCAATTCTTGATCGAAGTTTCTTCTTTGATGCATTCCACAAATTGAGGCTTAAGGAGGAATTTGGTATATTTGCTTTGTCTTATTTTATCTTTTATCGTTTGGATTAAATTAGTTCTAATTCTTAATGTTATTACGTTTTAGACATTCAACCTTGGACTTTTGAACAGCATCTTGGAGAAGCGATTCTCATCCCTGCTGGATGTCCATATCAAGTCAAACAACTTAAGGTATCCTTTATAGTGATGACCTTCATACATCTTCCCACAAACACGATTTCCTCACTGCTCATGTAGATGTTTACTATATTGGATAGTCTGAACATAGAATTAAGAACTGCAAATTCTTGTTTTAACCCCATGAATTAGTTAGAAAACAGAAAGAAGAATCCATTGACCAAGGACAGTATGTTACTATATCTTCTTTAGAATTTTTCTGGTTAGTCATGGATAAATAAATACATAGGAAATGTCAGACTTGGAGATAATTATAAGCAAAGACTATCTGGATCAATTGAATAGATCCCACGATATTCAAATGACGGTTCGTTTAAGGTGACTCTTCCGCTTTGTAACTTCTTTATAAGGAAGTAGATTTCTCTTTAATTTGCAAAATTATTAACAGAAGCTTATTGGTGGCAGTGTTTTTAAAGGATCGGATGAGGAACGCTTAGGCCCTGAAACTAGGTGCAAAGCAGGCTGGGCGCTTTGCCTTGCTTTGGTGGCACGTCAGTGCAGACACCAAGGCGCTATGGTGTGCGCTTCTTTACCCATGGGCTCTGTCTTGAATAGGATGACACCAAACAATATATATACTTATATAGTTGGCAAATTGATATATCAATTTTCACGATTAGGAATAGGAAACTTTTGATCGAGCGATTAGGAATAGGAAATTAGAAATCCAATATAAGAAATTAAGTCGGCGTACCTAAACCTACAATTTAAAATGCATCTTTGCATCTGAATCATAAATTATGGTTTTGAACTTTATTTACGTTATTTTTACTATATATTTCACTTTATTGTAAATTTTCAATTCTGTTATCCATATATTATTTTTATAGTTATTTTCTCTTGCATTACAAGCATATTTCTTCCTTTGCGACTTTCTTCACTCAAGCCCATGCTTTGTTGTGCGTTTACACTTAAGAGCAAACGAGCCTTGGCACTTTTCTAAGCTTCTCTTCATTGACGGCAGTGATTGATGGTAACTGTTAGTTGAAGTTATTGGCACGTAAGACCATGATTACAAATTTTATATTACTATTTGTGAACATCTCATTGCAAATTACTTATCCAGAGAGAAAAAGAAATCAGAAAGTATGTTAGGTGACAATTTTAAATCAATTCTCACCATATCCAACTTTGCGACAGTTTTACTTTTCCATGTTCTGATTAAAACATGCTGTGAGCTGTGCCATAGTTACCATTAGCTCTTCTATGTCTAGAAGAGCCTTAGACCAGCCTAACATTGATTGCATGTGTGCATATTACCAGCTCAACTGAATCTAGTCTCATATGTATATTTGTATCTGGGAGCTTTGTTTCTTTTAGCGCATAATAACTGACATAAGATTCTATTCACTGTCTACAGTCATGCATCAATGTTGTTCTGGACTTCATCTCGCCTGAAAATGTTGCTGAATGTATCCACATAATTGATGAAATTCGTCTACTTCCTGAGCACCACAAAGCCAAGGGAAAAGTGCTGGAGGCAAGTTTCACAACACTCTTTGTTTTAGTTGCTAAAACCCCAGGTTCAAACTGCTATAATGTAGAAACCCGAACATTGGCATTGTTTGACGTTATGCTTGTCTGAGACCTCTGTTAGCTTTCATGTTTAGTAGCAAAAAGCATGTTGTTTGAGAAAAATGTGTGTAAATGTTTGTACTTCTGGTCCTAGATCTAGCTTTACAATTCAAAAGAAAAATGCTCCTACATCCGTTTTTTTTTACATATGCCAGCTTACTAGTCCAAAGTAGATCTCATGTTTGAAAACCGTATGTCATTTTCGTGTATGGTACAATCCATGAGGATTGGATTAATATACCTCTTATAATGCGTTTAGCAGGTGAAGAAAATGGCTGTTTGTGGAATCAGCAATGCAATTGCAGAGATTCGCGACCTCGTGCCGACCTCTTGAGAGATGATCTATTAGCAATAGTAAGTTTAGGACTTGGTAGAAGACTGTACAAAGACTACTGTTTTTAATATGCTTTTTCAGAACTGATTATGCAATCTCATAGATGTTGCAGGTTCATGCTACATACTGCCAGGGAATGGGATATAGTACATTTTTCGACAAAGAAAGGATGAGTAGACATTGATTAGGTTAAGATCCTTGTCACTCGTCAACAATTGGTTATGTATATAACTGAAGATGAAAAGCAGATTGAACACACAAAATGCCATGACAACGTATATTCAACATTCACTGTACATGCTTCGTTAGGGTCCTCTGTAGATGTCCATAATTTAATTGCTACGATTTATAGTCTCCTAACAATATTGGTGTGTCCGCAACAACATTCATTGATCAATTTATAAATTCAATTGCTACTTGTTGCGACTCCACACCCAAGTTCTTTTTATACAAATTTAAACCCTAGTTTCTTTGCATTGTATAAAAAACAGATGCGTTACAATCATGAGTCAAGAGAGAAAAAAGTCATATAATAAAACATTACATGTATATTCATAGTGAACACAGCTATACATAGAAAGAGTACTTCGCCAACAAGCACAAGCTAAAAAATTACATAGCTATATATTCACATATATGTAACCTATAGCAACATGATAAATACATAGTGTAGAGAGGGTAGTGATTTGTAGCTAGCTAACGTTTCTTGTTTGCAGCAGCATGTTCCTTGTGTGAATTAAAGTAGAGGGCAGCCACAGGAAGACCGAGTCCATTGTCGCTTGCAAACTTGCGAGTGTTGAAATTAACACGCCTTTCTGGTGGTTTATGGGGCACTTGCTCCGCCTCCGTCTGCCTAAACAAAGTAAACACGTATCGATGTATCCCTGTTGGTGGCTGAGCTCCCATATATTCCATAACCTCCCTTCCTGCAACCCCATCACATGAAGAAATAGTGCTAAAGTTTAATTACGTTTTATGTACTGATAGACTCAAAAATATTTACATTATCAGACACCTATAAGGTGAACTTCTATAAGAAGAAAGCAATATTCATTAGCAACTTCATAGAAAGAGCATTATAGATTATAAACTACACCAATGATGTAAAACATCTTACGTTGTACCAATGGAAAGGAAATCATTACACTTTTCGGTATATGTATATAGATTTTAATGTATACTATATAATTGATTTTAATGTATACTATATAATTAAGCCGTATTCGTCGTAATTGTAAGTATTGAGTTACCTTCGGAGGCATCTCCTCCCTCTGGAATATCCGTGACAATCCTGCAAGAAATAGTACCACATCATATAAATTAAACAACTTATTATCATCTCTACTTCAATATCAAAACCATGCAGGTTCTTTCTGCTTTCGTATTTAGAAGTAGCAAGATGTAGTACGAAAACAAAGATAAGTTCAAGTGTCACTTGTTAGGTAATTTTATGTAAATTTTTGATAAGCATTAATTGGTAACCATAAGTAAATTATTATCACAAGTTAAAACTAAACTAATTGTGTAAAACATCTCCACCCTATTAGTGCATAGATCGAGATAAAAAGGATGGCCAGTTGAAATAACTTAAACAAGTGGAAAATTTGCATGTGCAGTTGAAGGAGAAAATAAAACAAATTAAAGTACCAATGGAGCCATTCTCTAAAAGTCGGTTCACTGGGACTAGGAGCATCTGGATCAGCCATTACCTGCGAAAAATCCAGTAGCGGATACAACAATAAGTCCTCTTCGAATTTTCTCCCTAATAAAGTAATAATCACTGCTCATATATGTTTACATTCATAAACGACAAAATTCTATCCAAATTAAACTCAGTCGACAGATAAAAAAAATGACACCATTACTATTATTAAAATCAAACGGTTTCATAATTTTTAATGGATGTTCAACTTCATTAAAAATATTGACCTTAATTTGTACGAAGAATTCTGTTTACTCCGTCTAGTACTATTTACTTGTCGCTTTGATAAGAGTTATTTGATTAAAATAATTCTTATTTATTATTAAAAACATTAATAATAAGAATTGTTTAACTAAATTGCACTTATTTATTATTCAATGGCATGTTTTCCTAAAATACTCTTTTAATTAAAATAAAAGGCAACAATTAATTAATCTCACTTCGCTAAAATAATGTAATATTTGGGACTGAATAAGGAGGTACTAGTAGGCAGACTTACAAGGGTGTAAAGATTATTAGAGTCACGAGAACCCTGGATATGAACTCTAGGCCTTTGTGCAGCTGCAGCCGGTTTTATTTCAACTCCATTAGATATTTGTTTTTTGGAACCATATTCGACGGTAAATTCAACCACCGGAACAAACATGTCGACAACATCTCCGATCACCTTTCCGACAACTAGAGGATCCACTGACCTCGGAGGATTTACCATGCTTGCCATTCTCACAATTAATTGACTGATTGGGTCGGGCGTACTAGGAAAACTAGTCAATTTTGTGAAGTGACTGAAGTTGGTGAAATGGAATTAGAGTATAATTAGGAGATGTTAAATATATAGTAAAGCGGACACGTATAGAAATGGTCAGTCATGTTAACGCTGATGTTGTTGCTGAGGGAACACGTGTTATGTTTAGAAGTCCTTGTGTGTAACAATAAACAAAATTTGCGAATGCGACAGTACAAGAAGTATATATATATCTTGAGGGCCGCCGAAATGTTTTGTTGGGACATATATCCAGGCATTAAGTGACGATATTAGAAGGAAAAACAAAAACAAAAACACAGCAAAGGCTATTTGTTGTGAAGGAGCTGTGAAATTTGTTACTACCGTTTTGAGTCTTTCGTTACATGGAGTATTTGCTCAATTTGAGCAAACTTAAAGAATGATAGATGCTCAAGACTAATTTAGATCTATCCCAAAATATAAAGGGACAATTTTGGTTTAAAGCTCTTAGAAATAAGTCAAAATTATGTAAAGGAAGTTTATACTGAACTTCTGGCTAATGAAACTTTATGTACTCGTAAGTTTCACTTTTTACTGGGAGAAATTTAAAAAATAGTCAGATTTACAAATGGTTATTCAAAAATAGCCACACTTTCAAAAGTTATCGAATTTTAGTCATTTTTTATGTAAAGATAAATCTGAACGAAAACACTGTTCAATATCCGGAAAATACTCCAGCATAATATACTGAAATTCCAGTATAATATATTGGGAACTCCAGTATAACATACTGGAGTGTTATACTGGAGTTCCAGTATACTTTGCTTGAACTCCAGTATACTGGAACTCCAGTATATTATACTGGAGCCAGCAAAGTATACCGGTCCAACATAATATGCTGGAAGTTCATACACAGGTGCACCGAACTCCAGTATATTATGCTGGACCGGTCTCTGTTGCAGCAAAATAGTGGCTATTTTTCAATGACTTGGCAAACGCCGACTATTTTTGAATGATCAGTGCGAAAACTGGCTAGACCGTGCTATTTTAACCTTTTTACTCGTAAAAGATAGCCTACGTATTCTTTGAGTGAATATATATAATTTTCACTTTTCACTTGTACAAGATAGCCCATATACTAAGTAGCCCAAATTTAAGATCCACTTTAGTACCGTAGAACCTTAGGGCGCCTGCATGAAAGAGCCCACTAAAATTGGTTTTCAAGAAGTTGCCCAAAGTTATAACATGGGCTTGGCCCAATAAAAGCCCAAACATTTGCACGGCGTATCCCCTAAAGGGACCGGTCTTGGCAAAAAATGTTCCCCTTTTGACGGTACTAGTCAAATATGACTATTATCTATCTATATCTATATTATTATAAAAGTTTGAACACAAAGTCGATGTACCAAAATAGTCCTAAGTATTGATCGATTTTTATATTTGGCATTGGATAGAATTGTAAAATTTAATAATGTTATTTGAGTAGAATCCTAAAACTTTATGGTGTGTGTCTAAAATTGCTGATTAAGAATGTTTTACTCCTTTTTTTTATTATTAAATTCAAACCATGAAAATGAACTCTATAATGCATTCCTTATTGAACTTGAATAAGAGCACAAAATATGAACTATGAATACGAACTCTAATTCCTATTGCACTGGAACTCTAAAATATTTCATATTTCGGTATTAGTATTTGAGTGAAAATAATTTTCTTCGTTCAATGGGATTTAGACTTAAAGGTCATCTGTTAACTCTTTAATGAATATTAGTTTTAAAGTGTGGTGCTGCAGAAAGAAGTTAACAAAACTCAGTAACTTCTCAAAGTTAGTGTATTTTTCTTTGAAATCGAAATGAGACCCGAAAACATGTGCTTTTTACTCTTTCATTATCATCTTTTTGTGCATGCAATTGATAGGTTTTCATGAGTTTTAATTTTGTTGTCGAATTTTAGTTCAATTATTTGCAAAAACATTTTCAGTGTTGTCAAATCTTTTACCATGCATGGATACAATGTTGATATATCAAAATCCTCCAAAATTTTAATTTTATCGTCAAATAAGATAATTGCCCGTAGATTAGAATTGTAACAGTAAATTCCTAATATGAATTTGTATGGAATTCTAATACCAATCAAGGTGTCCTACTCATTATTAATAATTCTAAAGCGCCCTATATATACCAATTTTACATAGATAAGAACATTTGGTACCATCTTTTACCATATTATCTATCTATCTATATCTATCTATCTATATTTATCTATATCTATATTTCTTTATTATTATAAAAATACGAATAATTTATGTTAAATGTTGAACGACTAAAATATCCTCGAAACTTTGATAGACTTTTATGCCCTTAAAATTTTGAGTTAAATATGGATTTAATTGTAATATTCCAAATATTACCCCAAGAATGGAATTCT